AATTAAGTGATAAGGAAGTGAACAGATTAATCTAGTTGAATGAATAAAATTATATTTTTAAAAATAATATTGAAAATATTTAGTCTTGGATTAGAGAAATGTGAAATCCGTAATACATGGTTTTAAACTGAATATAATTAGCATATGACAGTTGGGATTTAAAACGCTTTTTAAAATTTGAGTCCAAAGTTCTTCAAAATTTATGTGGGATAAAGAACTAAGACTCTATAAATTAGACTTAATATTATAATCTATCAAGAAAATCGGACTAGAAGAAGTACTTAAAGTCTTCTATGGACACAAAATGTCTCTGGGTTGTATTGGAAAATCTTCCAAATATTGGTTGTTAGCATATTATAAATCCACATGAACTTTATCAAGATATTAAACAATTTTTAACTAATCAGGAAAATTAAGGCCCTTATTTCCTTTGTTTAAGAAAACAGTTTTTATTTACTTCAATGAAAGTCAAATTAAAATTGCTTCTTTCCTATCAGGACACAAACAGTTAAACTGGGTAACCATTTCATTAAGTGTCAGAACATCCTATGCCCATTGAAGGAAGGTAATTTAATAACCTTTGTTGCTACTTTCAGTTATAAAATCAGTAATTAGTTTATATCTTCTGGTTATACTGAGAAAAATATGAACATGAATGAATAGGAAATTATCGTCACATGATTTTACTAACAATTTATAAGTAGATTTAATATTTTTCAGTGTTGATGTCACCTGACTAGCGTATATAATGGACGGATTTGTTTCTTATAGACGGAACTAAGCTACATTCAATATTTGATAGAGGTGATATAGTTCGGTAAGTAGAGGAGCTGAGGTGCATATTAGCATTTACAATATCGTCGAGTCGAGTCATATCTTAGCTGCTTCAGATAGCTGAGATATGATATTTCTGCAGAATTGTGCTGACTTGCTGTTTTCCTCTTCTCCTCATGGAGCATATGGCTTCTACCATAGAGCTAAATCTACCTCTATTGGGTGCTTCGCGGCATATATTATTCCAGTTATAATTTGCATTAGCAATTTTGTGTCTATAGTTCTGCGCCAAGATGAGTGCTGTTCTTGCAATAAAGTTTGCAGTACTTAGAAGTGTGTGTTCAATACATCGCCATTTGCGTCAACCAATTTGAACTGGAACGCACTCTTGTTGTGCACGGCTCCATAGGTCTTCATTTTTTATTCTTCTAAACCATTTTATATCAAGTATTCTGCGCAAGCACTTGTTTATGAAGGTATGTATTTTTGACTCAATGCAGTTGAAACCTTTTATTTTATATTTGGTTTGAAGATGCGAAATTTCGTATTAACAAAATATTTAGCTCGATTTCCATATATGATATTCCTCAGCATATCAAAGGTAGAGTTTTCTCATCAGCGCCACTTCTAGAATTGTATTAACTTGGATTAAGTTATATAACATTGGAAACTTTTATCTCAGAAATGCGATGTAGAAGAATTCATAAGGACTGCATTTATGGATTTCATAGAAAAATTTTCATAAAGTAAAATAAATCTAATAAAAGTCCTAAAGAACTAACTTCTAACTCAAGTCTGACATGACTGGATCAGTCTAGCCATTTTATTAATATTGTAAAACGAATCATTGAGCTACTTTTCTGCTTAAAAAAGCAATGTTGTTACGCTGTTGTGTAAAAACCTTAGAAGTAAAAGCTACTAGTCCATATACTATGTATGTATCTATACTATGTAAATGGTATATAATTCCATATATGTGTTCTAAGATTAAATTAATTTAATATAAATACTTTTTGTGTGATATTGCAAATTTAACATATATGTTTGTGCTTTTCTTAATGAACACAACTTTATAAATGTTTCCTTATAATTTTCTACTACATTTTCAATTCGAAATAGTTAAAGTGAAAATTAATTTCATACTTAAATCTCTTCAATGACTTGCACAAAAATCAAAACAGTATTTGCCAGGCATTTAATATTAATTAAGCCAGGACACACGCCAATGAACCAACCGGCACAACCAGTCACCCAGTAACACCGTCACACCGTCAACCCATATATTAATAGCCAGAAGCCATTTACGCACGCTTGACCCTCCTTGCGTCACCACATGAGACATGCAGGCACTCAATTTAAAAATTAAGACGAATTCCTGTCCCCTGCCCCTCCTCTTTGAACACTTCCATACTTCTCGAGTATTTGTTTGTTTATTTGCCGTTTAAAGGAAATTTTTTCGCAATTCATTGCATAAATCCTGTTTACAAACTTTTGCAGCGCTAAATAATGAAAATATCCTTTTAAATGCAGCAATGACATTTCAGTAAGCAAGTGTCAACGTGGGGTGCACGACAGCGAACAGCGATGCAAAGGAAAAGTCATTGCACCACGTGTAAGCGCATTCCGTACGGGGAAAGTAACACGAGTAACATTCACACAAACCTAACTACACACAAATTGTGTAAGTACGTAAAGTGTGTAACTAAGTCTCAGGGATAATTTGGTATTATAATGTGTAATGCTAAACGTAAGGATTAAATTGGTAAACGTTTTCTTTCAGTTGTTGTTGTAGCAGCAGTTGTTGTTGTTGTTGTTGGCATTATCATCGAATGTCATCGAATTTTTTATTTTTTTATTTTACTTTCAGACGCTGAGTTTTAAATATTTGTGATAGATATTGTGTATCAAATACACAACAAACAGAAAAAAACGTTCACAGAAAAAAACAGTGTGTAATACCAACCCCCTGCAGCCCTTAGGAACGATAATAATTTGATTGCCAAATAGCTAAGTACTTACGTATTTTCACCACCGCATGTGGTATGTAGCGTACATGGAATTTCAATGCAACTTCTTGCATCCTTCAATCCTTGCACAGAGTGCAATCGTATTTCACGTGACATTTTTTCGTCCTTACTCCGTCTTGCCGCTTTTTCCTGTTGTGTAATCAAAACTATTCCACACTGAGTTTTCCACTGCAATTCGCACTTTTCACATTTTTCGATTGTGACTCGACTCGGTACTCGAGCCACATGTGCAATTTCGGGGTAGTTGGTAGTTCGATTGGTGGCCTCAAATTCCATTCGAATTTCGTTTCTATTGTTTTGGTATTCCTTTTATCCTTCGGAGATTTTTGTTTGCCGTTAATTGGGTTTAGTTTTAATGATGTTTATGGCCATGTCAAATGGTTGCATTCACTGCAATTATTTATTCAAAGGCTGCATTTATGTGTGATTTATGTTTAATTTTTAATATGAGCCACTTGAGCGCCTGGTACTCCATTGAATGACATCTCGGTTGGTGTACTCATGCCTAATAATTAAGAAAAATTTTTCAAATGATTAATTTGATTGAATGATATTTTACCTTCATGGTGTGCATAATTAATTAAATTTCATCTGAAGTGAATAGTTCTCGAGTATCCAGATTTTATTTTTTTCGACTTTTCTAGAATTCTAATGAATGCACAATAATAACACAATACATAGGTTTAATTTTAAAATTCGTGTAATTGATTTGTATAACGCGTCTATAGTAACAAAAATAAATAAAAAATGCACTAAATACCTTGATGTGATCGAATTTAACAGAAGATTTCTGGTATAGTTAATAGCCCATAAATTTTACTTTGACTTCATAAAAAGATTCAAAACTTCTAGGAATAATCAATCAATTATCAATA